ATCTTTTGGCTTTAAATAGCAGGCTGGATTTAGCCTTGGACAATCGCTCTCTGCCTGCAGGGGTTTTGCTGTGGCTGAAACACAGCCCCCCCCACCCCACCCCCAGGGGAAGAAAAACCCACCGGAGGCCTCAAAGTCACTTCCTCCCATAGGAGCAGCAGGTAGCAAATGAAATCAATCACGGTTGGGGCATTTTTATTTCCAGGGGAGAGGGAGGGGGCAGAGAGCCCCCTGCCATGAGCAGAGGCCACTGGGTTGGAGTTTTCAGGATCTGACTCGTCCCCAATTCTCTGCTCCAAAAGTGGGGGGGGGGTAAAGTTCCACCCTGGACTTTTAAAAAGTGAGAAAAATGGGGTGGGGGTGGAAGACAATGGGCCAGGGAAGCCCCATCCCCTGGGCCATCTTCCTTGGCTCGCCTTTTTGGGGATCCTGGAAAAATTTGGGAAACAAAAAACTACCCCCCCACACACACCCAGAGGACATGGTAATTAGGAAGATACTGGAATGTGCTGAAATGGACAGGATGACCCTGGAGTCGGACCATTAAAAAAGAGAAGAGTCGGACCGTTATAACATTTGGAGTAGCCTGTACAAGTGGTTAGAGAAGAGAAGCCGAAAAGAGAAATAAAAGGTTTGAAAACTATCGAATATACTGCGAAGAAAAATGTACATATGTAAAATTTGATTATATGTTCCAAACTACTATACTATAACATAATTATTGTGTTTCCCCCAAAATACGACATGTCCTCATAATACAGCCATGCCACATTTTTCTGGTGGGCAAAAATATAAACCCCCCCCGCATATAAGCCCCCTGGACAACCCCCACCACCACCTCTGGCCAGGTAGAGTGCCGCTCACCAACCTAGCAGTGTCCCGAAGGTGCCAAGCTGCGGGAACCTGGGGGGAGGCAAAGGTGATTGCATTGCTTGGTGCCTTCGGGATACCGCTAGGTTGGGGAGCAGCGCTGTGCCCATTTGAAGAGGGGGGTTGCCGGGCGGCTGCTGTCTTGCGAGTGGGCTCCCAAAGAGCCGGGCACAGCCTCATGGGCAAATGAGCGGCCACTGCCGAAAGACTCGGGTTGGAAGCCGCGGAAAAAGCCAGGCTGGGATGGCGACGGCGGCGGAGGTGCCCTGGCTCCGTAATGAGAGCTGGGCCCTGCATCCTGAGGCTGGGAGGGGGGTGAGCCAGAGCGGAACAGCCGCTCACACAACACCCCCCCTCTCCAGCCATGCAGAGCGCCATTCACTGGCATTTGGAAGGCGCCAAACTGCGGGAGCCGGGCAGCGGCAAAGAGGCACTTGGCGATACCCCTAGGTCAGTGAATGGTGCTGTGCCCGGCTGCAAAGGGGGTTTGCCAGGTGGCTGCGCGTGAGCGACAACGCAACACAGCCATTCGCCCATGAGGGAGCCCGGCTCTTTGGGAGCCCGCTTGCAAGAGAGCAGCCGCCTGGCAACCCCAAAACAATAAACCCCCCCCCCCCATAAGGAAGCCCAAGCCATATTTTGTAGGTAAAAAGAAAATAAGACCCTGTTGTATTTTTGGGGAGACACCGTCTCACATTAGAATGATTAAAAACTAAGAGAAGGCAAATAATTGAGTAGTAAACCTCAAAAGCAGAATATACATGACTGATATGGAAAGCTGTAAAAGTATATTATATTGTTACGTTGTTTGTGTTTTTACCTGTTTTCTATGTTTTTGTATTTGCTTTTTCTTGTGCTTTTTAAACTTGAAAATGTCTAATAAAAACTATATTTTGTTTAAAAAAAGAAACCCCGCAGTGTCCAAGGAGCAGATCTGAGTGAAGGAAGCGCAAAAGAACTTCCCGAATGAAGAGGTCTCCCTTGAGAAACAGGGCCTCTTATTTTCAAATTATACTGAGCAAAACGTCCGATCGTATAGTGGAAGGTGGTCTGGAGGGAGGGGCCGCTTTCCAGAGGCCGGGGAGCTTGGAAGGTTTGGGTGGCAGGAAGAGCATTAAGGAGGCTCCTCCCCAGCCATCCTCAGGCCTCAGATCTGTCCTTCTGCAGACAGTTGCTTCACTCTGGCAAGACTCCGTCTACAGGTGAAGGAGAATAAGGGAAAGGACTCCAAAGTGGCTCCTTGTGTTGCTCTTGCCACCTGCCAGGTACCTCCCGAACTCTGCTGCTTTCCCCCTGTTGTGTCTTCCTTCCTTCCAGCCTTGCCTTACCTCCAAAACTCTCCCAGTGATAAACTTCCCACAACGGTCGCACTGGATCCCAAATGTAGCATGATAGTCTCTTTCGCAATATGGAACGCCATCCCTGCAGGGAAGAAGACAAGACACCCTGCCTCAAGGCCGGCTCTCAGGGCAGGCTGACCGCTGGGGGGAAAGTTAGACGAAGAACCACACACGTCCTTCAGGAGAGAATCCGTCCAACGGCAACACAAGACGACCCCAAACTTAACTGGTAACTTGGAAAACCAAACAATTCCTGGCTTTTACATATCCAAATCCTTTCCCACCGCAATTCCCTTTGGCCTCTGATCCTCGGTGGAGGCAGGCGATTCCCAAGGAGGCTTCCCCTTCGCCCAAGGATTTTCTGACGGGGGCAATTTTCCAAATGAGTCCTAAACTCTCTGCCCCGATTCCACCCGCAGGACAGACTGATTGCCCCCGCCCGTCCTTTCCCTTCTCCGCTTCCCATCTTCCACCAAAGGGTGAGAGACCCCCCCTCCCTGCTCTTTGGTCCAGCGGCTACAGGTTGCCCAGCCTCTGCCCTCCACCCACTTCCCAGAACAGGGAGCGTCCTGGGAGGCCATGCGGCGAAGCCATCCTACGGGGTGCTGTGTCTGTACCCACGCTGGCTCCCGGTCACGCAGCACTTCGGGAGACCGGCTGACCCTTCACAAGCTCCCGTCCACCAATCTGGGCTCCCCCCGCAGGGCGACCGAAGGGGGCCTCCGACTTACCTGCTGATATATTCCCCAGTGAGAAGTTTCCCACAAACCCTGCACTTGAAGCAGGTCAGGTGCCAATGCTTGCCCAAGGCCACCAAAGACTGGCCGTTCTTGATTTCGGAGCCACAGTTCCCGCAATCTGCCAAGAAGAAGAGAAACCCTCGGAAGCTGCACCTGGCCCCTCCCCTCTGGCCTTTGGGGGTCGGCCAGGACAGCCCCACAGCTGCACAACAGCTGGCCTTCGACTTACGAGCACAGCTGGGACTGGAATTCCAGTCACCCAGTAACACACTCATGAAATGGCGTGACTGAACCCCATTTTCCAACCTTCCACCATGGCTGTGAAGTGAATCACCACGGCCGTTACACGGATCATATGGTCATTAAGCAAATCCAGTTGGAAACTTGCTGGGAAGGTGCCAATCACGATCAGGCGTCGTAGCCTTGGGGACAGGCCGTAAATCACTTTTCCCAGGGCCGTTATAACTTTGAATCCTCATTAAACGAAAGGCCATAAAGCTGATCACTGCTCTGGTCAACCGGGGCCCTGCTGAGGGCTTGGCTAAGCCATTTCCTAAGAAAAAGGGAGGGGGGGGGAGTGCGCATTGCCTCAAATCCCCGTGGCTGAATCTGCCCTCGTGCAACCGTACAAGAGGGCAGGGGCTGACTAAACAACGGGCGGGGGGGGGGGCTGCTAAGGAGAAGCCCCGTGTCTCGTGGACCTCTCGAGGGGGCAGCCACGCTGAGCAGGTCGGGAGTCCCGGGGCTGCAGCCCTGAGCAGCCGCCCTCCCTCTGAGCTGGGCACAGGAGCCTCTGGCAAACAGCCAGGATCCCAGCCTATTCTGACCTAAACCCAGATACCTGGCGAGGGACCTGGATGCCCTGGGCGGCCTCCATCGGCAGCCCCTCGCCCCGCGCATTGCAGGAGAGCCCCCCCCCAACGCTGAAAAGCTAAGCCTGCACATCGTTTCCTTGACGTTTCCTTGCGGAGGCTGCAGGCGAGGCCAACGCTCAGGGAGGACATTTTCCTTCGGCTGCTAAAAACAGCCGCCTGGCCATAGATCTTGAAAGCCGCGACTTACTTCGGAGGACGGGAAAACTGGCCCCAGCCGGGGGCAGAAAGCATTTCTGGCAGACGCACTCCTTGCCATTGAAAGTCACACGGTCCCCGGGAGGAAACGGCTGCCTGCAGGAGGAGACAGAAGCAGCGTCACTATATGCGCTCCCCACCCCCCAACTCCTCTTCAGGAGCTTCTCCCTCCAACCTCCCCCCCTCCCCATGGAAATCCTCTGCAGAAGGGATCCCCCCCCAAACGTTCCTCCACACCCTTTCCTGACGCCCCCCCCCCAATGATTCCTCCTTGTGGCCGTCCTCCCGATCAGAGCCACAGTTAACGGTCTTTGCAGAGAGGCACCGAAGGGCTTGTCTGTCTGAAGGCTTTACGCAACCACACCAGCTGGACCGAGGCAGCTGTAAGAGTCTGAGAACCTGGCTGGGGGTCTCTTGCTCAGCCCACACTTTCTCCAGGACTCTCCCTTCCCCGTGGCATCCAAAGCAGGGAGGGAGAAATGGCACAAGGAACCTCCCCCCCCCCCAATAAATGGCCTGGAGGGAGGACGGGCACCCTCAGTCACAGATGGGGGCGCAGAGCTCCTCCTCCTCCCCTGAGATTTGGGGGATTCTGATCTGTCCTGAAAGGCTGCAGCCGAGGGGACAAATTTTCAGAGGAGAAAATGTGGGGGGGGGGGGGGGGGGGGGGGTCTCAAAAGCTGAGAAAGCAGGAAAAAAAAGGCTTTCAGCCAAAGACCTGCGAGACTTTCAGCTTTGCAATCAGGGTCAAGCAATTCGGAGAGACTTCATGATTTCACTAATAAACAAGGGCCAGCATTCCCCCCCCCCCCCCCCCCCCCCCCCCCCCCCCCC